TGCCACGGATAAGCCACATGCCATCCCCCTCCTCCCCAATTATGCAAGCTCAACGGCTTGATCCCCGACTCATAAAACCCAGACGGATCCCCATACAAGTCCAACTGCCACAGCTCATTCAACAGCGTGAGCTTGTAGTTTGAATTCTCATAAATGCACTTTCTCAGCAAGATATCCCCCTGCGGTCCCCACCCCGAGTTCGCCTCCTTAATCTTCTGCTCCGTTTTGCAACTCTCATACCTCTCGGCCACCAAACCCGCCATGGGCACACTCAGAAACACCCCCGCGCCCCCGAACGCCTGCGACCCATGCCTCTGAATGTTATTCACATCCTCCGAAAACGTCCCAATATACATCGGAAACCCGTCATCAAACTCGTCAAACCTCTCCTTCAGCGCATTGAAGCTCGGAAAGAAGGTGTCATCATCGCACGTCACCAGCCACTTCTTCCTCGGCCTTTCCGGGTGGTTATACATGGTCGGCACCAATGCCAAATACCTCACGGCCATGATATCCTCTGCATTAGACCGATACACATCCACATCGATCCCCGCCGTCGTCAAGATGTTATGGGTCTCCTGTAGCTGCTCATCCTCGGCATCCAACAGCATCAGAAGCAGCTTCCCACCGTTAGTATTCCCCTTCCCATCTGTCAACCAATACGTCCACTCGTTCACCGGGCTCGTCTTCGGATCGCTGAACCGTTTGTACGTGGTCGAGACACCAAACATGAATTCTGATGCATTGGCACTTCCGGGGAATGGAGACTGCGAAACGGGCGCCACAAGGGGCTCGGGGCACGACTCGGCTTGATACGGCTCGGGGTTGTTGAGGTCTACTGTCCTGATGGTGTCGGTCAGGAAGCTTTGGTTTAGCACCGTCATGGACTTGCGGCGTATGGGCTGACGGGAAACCTGGATATATCGTTTCGTATACTCAATCTGGCCCCCCAGCTTGTACTTTTCCTTCCACTGCTTCAGCCGAGCAATGTCATAATTGCAGTCCATAGGGATGGATGAGTTGACCAATGCAGTCGCAATATCCCCTGTGGAGCTGGCCCGGTGTGGCTCTGTCGGTGTCGGAAGTGTATCTTGCCAGTCGGCGCCATGCTTCAACGGTCTCTGGAGATATATCGCTTGCTTGGCTGACGCGGCCGTCTGGATGATGGCGGTCTGTACTTCGGCACTGGATCTGAGAAGGAGGGTACTGATGGCGAGAATAGCAAAAGTCAGGACAAGAGCTCTCGCCATGGGGCTCCGCATGGGGAGGCAGCGGTGTGGGTTCGGCATCAGGGCCACCATGCTGCCGCTGCTGCGTCTGCTGCTGCTGCGTGTTGACGTCGTGGGCTTGTCAAAGTTAACGTCCGAGGTTGAAAATCTCAAAGCTTGACAGTCTGCAGCCGGCATGTCGTTTGTACTCGCCCTTGTCCGTGGAGACACTGTCACTAGCCCAACCGTTTGGGCGGAAGGAGCGACGCTTCACCGTGTGCCCGTGCCGTGGTGGCTCCCTGATGGTGCGGAGGAACGAAGGCAGACTCGGAACAGGAAGGAAGCTTGCAAATGTCGCCGTTCAGCCCTGGCAGAACTGACTGGGAACGCCGAAACTCTGGACTGGGAAGTCGGGGACAAAAGCCAACGTGGCAACTCAGCAAGCAATGAGGAACCAGCAAGGAAAAGATAGCAAGAAAAGACAGCAGTAGTACAATGTACGGTCCGACGCGGGTACAACGACACCTCAAGCTCACAAGATGGAGGCACGGCAATTAGGAGGACCAAAAGTGGCGTTGCCATCAAGTCAGAGATATCGGAAGCTCAGGGGAACGCTCGGAGCCATGTCGACCGGGCGGACATCTTTCGGGCCATTTCCCAGGCGGCATGAGGCGTCGAGCTAATTCTTATGGCGGTGACATGGAACGTCATCGAGTGGGAGTTTCCGAGGCAGGAAGGAAATGCCCGGTTTGATGCAGGTACCCGGGGTGGCACTGGCTACGGACGAGTTGGCAGCTGAAGTCTCAAGATGTTCCGACAGTGGATGGCGATCTCCATTTATACCATTCGACTCCAAGCTACCTACCTTATTTTTTGCAACTCATCTCAATGTTCTTCTCGACCTAGATGCCATCATACATCAATAGCAACGCCCACCACCCGCCCCCGAGCTCAACATCCGTTTGTCTCCACAAATCCCACAAATCCCACCTCCCACGCAGGAACCCGGCCAAGCAGCCTCACATCCCCTAAGCTCCCGAGTGTTACCTGAGCTGAGAATCACTACCTAAATACACGATTTTGCACAGCAACAACATGCAGACGACCGCGTATTCTGAGCAAACGTGGATACTTATGATCAAGGCGTTTGCTTCCTATGATGATTCCAGAAGATATCTAGACAGAGTTTCCCTTCCCGCTAATAATATCGGAAATGGAGCTCACGGCAATTGGCTTCAGGGGTAAGTACGCCACCACACGCTGTTGCAGATCTCCGATCGGTCGGAACCAGCAATTCTCGTCCCACATCAAAGCATTTGTTTCAGACGAAAAGGCACCTTGGCCCTGTCACCTCTCTTCGTACCTCTGGCACACTCGCACAACAACAAAAGTCAACACCAAATAATGGAAAACCCCTTGTGCTTTTTTCTCTCGTCTCGAAATCCTTCCAGATTCTCCACTGAGAGTCCAAACCCGAATGATTGAACTTTTATGTAATGTGAGAGGAACAAGACAGCCAACTACCCCCCCTTTGACGGGTCAGGACTGTCTCAACCTCCCGAACGTGTTCCTCCTGTCTTCCGTCATCCCACAAACACGACCACAAAATCTTGCCGAAGTTGAACTCGGTGTACCGTGAATAAAATTTTCTTTCCGTCTTGCCGATCACGTTGTACTCTCAATCTGATAAGAAGACATCCTATCCCCCTCTAGACCATCCCATCTTTTCCGCCACCGCATCTGGAGCTCTCGACTGGAGGTCTGGAAGTTAACCGCCAAGGCACGCTAGGGAGCTTGTTGTCGTAGCTCCCGCTGTCAACCTCTCTTGGCTCGCCTCGGCGGTTGCTTTCAGGGGTACTATCTTCCGAGAGCAAGAACAACAAGAAGACAATGCTTTTAACTCATGTACTGCTACCTATCTATACAGAACACCAAGGTATCTAAATCCAGGATTAGAAACAGAAAAAAGAAAAAGGAAAAAAGTGTACAACCCCATCTATCATCTGCAAACCATCGTCCAAGTTGTGTTCGAGCATCAACTTCATCCCCCCTCACTCAAGGCTTACTCAACTGCTCCTTCCTAAAAAACGTCCCAAAAGCCACACATATCCCCCCCTGCATCAACAAACAAACCCAAAACCACCCATTCCCCAACCCATCCAGACTCAACGCCAAATTGGGAAACACCGGCCCCGGCCCAACCGCGTTCGGCGCCGTCGCCCTCCCCACCGCCGTAGCCACACTCCCCAGCACCTGCGCCGCCACCAGCGCAAAATTGTTGTGAAACCTCGTCGTGGTCTGCAAAAGCATCATGCCCACCCCCGTGCCTTGCAACGCATCCAAGACCCCGAGCCAAAGCCATAACGATCTCGACAGCAGAGCCCCGCCCACGTCTGATGCCCAGGGGAGGGAGGTGCCAACCCCGGAGACACCCCAAAAGATTTGCGCCCAACGTGGTGCGCCGAGGCCGATGGCGAGCACGGGGAAGAGCCAGCTGTGCTCGCGCGACAGGTGGGCGAGTTGCCAGAAGAGCGCGATCCAGATTAGGCCAAAGAAGAGGATGATGAGCAGCAGGATCTGCCAGGGTTGGGCGTGGGCCGTCGTCCAGAGGAAGCGCCAGCTGCGGCCGTAGTTGGAGGAGAGCCAGTAGTTTTGGATTATGACGGAAACGAGGAAGCACTGGGCGAGATGTCAATATGTGTGAAAGGTAGGGTGAGTGATGATAAACTTACGATAATTAGCTTGCGTCGGAAAACAGACTTGAAAAATGATGGGATGGACCCCGGAGTTTGGCGGTAGTAATCAGGCAAGCCGAGGTGGGTGACAACCGCTAATGCCATCATCAGCACCGCAACAGGGAGACAGACGGCCGACACAATCGTGTTGGATGCCCGCGCCATGGGGATACCGTTGCTGTCGTAAGAACTGAGAAGAGATCCCCAGTACCAGAGACCGCTGATGTAAATCTGCTGTACACCCTGCACAGCGCAGGCACGGATGACCCATGTCCTCACTGGCGCACCGCCCTCGTCGCCAAAGTTGAGAGCAAAGAACATTGATCCGCTGGAAGATGCTGCTGCATACAGCCCAGAGGCTGTGTTCTGGACCCAGCCTCGCGCATAGAATGACTGCGCAAACGGCGCGCAGCCAGCAAAGAGAAAGGCAAGACCGTAGATGGCAAAAGGTGTAGACAAGACCCAGACAGATTTGAGATTGCGGGAACCGACCCACCAGCAAATGGACGTAGCGGCGTAAATCGAGGCAATAGTGTAAAGCGTTCCCGCTGTTTGACCCTGTTCGCCATTGAGCAGGGAAATCTGGTACGAGTTGGCAGCTAGGATTTGTCCAAGCGCCAAAATGAGAGTGTAAATAGGCCAGTCAAACACCTTTCGAAGCATGAACTTCTGCATAGCAGTCGTATGCGCCACGGGAGGCACATCTTCCGTCTCAAAAGTGGAAACATACTGCCCATGAGTGGCATGCAATTCGTCTCCATCCTCGGCTGAGTAGACCGAAGACGCAATACTGGGTGTGTAGGGGCTTGCTGGGCGGGATGGAACATCCAAAAAGCGAGGATGAACACGACCTGGCGAAGGTGGTTCCACAAGAGTGACCTTGGATGTGTTTCGAGACGAAGATAATCCGAATTTGATGCTCTTGTAGTCTTGGAACCATTGCTTTTCAGACCGGACCAGATATTGCTCAATGCAGAGATCGGTCTCTGAAGATTTGGCATCAAGATTCGCCAACATCTTCTGGAACTCGACAGTGTATTCGCCATCAGTGTCCGTGAAGAACGGGTCAACCTTTTGCAGTGCAAAGTCCTTGCGCCCTTTGGTGACAGAACGAATAGAGACATCTGAGTACCTCTTGGTATTTGGAGATGGCAGAGGAGGCATAAGTGGCCATCCTGCTGCATCAGACATCGGACTTCTTCCACCTGATGGCAGGCCGTTGTAGCCAGGCGTGAGAAACGAGGTAGGAGTGATGGGTCGGCCAGACTGTAGTTCTGTCGGTGTGGGTGAAGCAGAACGTGAGAGATTTGTCTTGGAGAGTCCCACAAGTCGGAGGTGGTCTGGCTTGTCCCTGTGCTTCTGAGACTTTTGGATTGATGTGCTGTGAAGCTCGCTGATCTCTTCTACCCATCGCGCGACTGGGAAGCGCTGTTTGGCTGAGACAGCTCTCATCTTCGCACGAGTCTCGGTATCTGAGGCGAGGGCGCCCTCGATGGCATCTTTGAACTGACTGATGAGATGCTTGGCCGATGTTGATTCGACAGTGTAATACCACCCGGGCATGTTCCCGAGGCCACCTGAAACTTGTTAGCCTTGACTGTAAGACTCGATCAGGGATAACGCTTACCAACTCGAGCTCCCACCCCCAACGCTCCTTTCCTCCCAAATTCCACTGCCACCAAGCCAAACGGCTCGTCGCGAGATGGAATAAGCGCAAACTCAGCACCACTGAAGATATATGGAGGCAGCTGTGTAAACTCTGGCTTGGAGAAAACCCGACCAGGATACTGCTCCATAAGTCTTGCCAATTTGATAGCAGCCAACTTGCCATAGAGGTCGATAACTGGCCCGATAGCAATCAACTGCACCTTTGGATTGTGCTCCAACACAGACGGGAACACGTCTGCAATAATATCCACCCCCTTCTGCATAGACCATCGACCAACAAAGACAAACAATTCAGCATCTGCATCTTGCTTCAGGCCAGCCCATTCCTGGGCCTGCCGACGGAGCCCAGCACGCTTAGCTTCAAACTCGCCATCAACGTGAACCTTCTCAGCCTGGGAAGCTGCCTCAAGCTCCGGCGACCACTCAGCTGTGTCCGAAGGATCTGGATTTGGAAGGCTTCCAATTTTTGAGAGGCCCCAGAAAATTGGATATCGTGCAAAACTTCTCTTGCCATACTTCTTGGAGACTCCCACCGCTCCGAAGCCGTGTTGGAACTCCCGCAGATAACTAGCTCCCGCGTGCAGTAAGTTGAAGACCTCGCCAAATTGCACAAATCGTTCCACAACCTTCTGGTCCAAGTTGAAAACCTTGCAGACCTCCTCCTTTTCTTCTTTCGTTCCAAGGCTCCACATTCCCTGAAATTCGGCGTTGTGAAGAGAAAGGCAGCATGGAATAACACGAGGGAGTAGGTACAATGGGGCAAGGGCGCCGTGGAAGTCGTTGATGTGGTAAATG